CTTAACTTTTTAATTGTAATAGTAAATGCTAACAATGACACCGTGTCTAAAAACATTCTATAATACCAAAAATTGAACATTGATTGAGTAACATTTATATTTTAAATAAAAAAAAAATTTAAAAAATTAATTATACAATTTAAACTTAAAGAGATCAGAGAAAGGTAGGGAGAGAGAGAACAGTGTGATAAATGTGGATTGGTAAGGTTGTCCGGTGTTAGAGAGTATGTTAGTTTGGTTGATGTTTTTGAGCAAAAACATCGACCGAAAACTAATGGTGATGCAAAAACTTGGATATCTTGAATTTGATTGTACTAATGACTCTCAAATTTAACTAATATATATGATTAGTGAGTGATCGCACATGTTAAAAACTTATTTTGCTTGAGTGGTCCAATGTATCTCTATCTTGAAAAAATTGTTTCTTTTGTTTTTCTGTATTCAATGTTTAGGTCAGCTTACGGGGCACATCGACTACTTTCTTTCACAATCCAGCCAAAGACAGATTGTTTACACTTGAATTAAGAAATTTATGAAGGATTAATCTCTTATAGCTTGACTTTAAAAGATTTATCAAGTTTTGAAGTTAAAATGTCTAAGTTTACAACTAGAGGTGACAAATGGGTGGGTTGGATTGGCTATGTGTTAAATTAAATTGGGCTAAAATAAATCTAATCTATTTTTCGCTCACATAGTAAATTGGTTATAATGAGTTGAGTTTATAACGGGTTGAGTTAAATTGATTAACCTATAAAATAATTAAAATTCTTAATAGACACATTAGTACACCAAAAAACACACACACATTAGTAGTACACCAAAATACAAACATGCATACACACAAATACACCAAAATAAACATAAACTAATACATTAAAAATATACACACTAATCTATACTACTAATAAAACTACTTTAAGTGAAAAACTTTTGATTCTTTATTTTACCCTTATAAAGAATTTTAATTACTACATTATCTTTCTATAGTTAAATATCTAAATTACAATTACATTTTTATGTATTTAAATCTCCAATTACCCTCTAACATTTCTTTTACTTCTCTATTGTTTTTGTATAAATATCGATATCTATAAAAAAAATTAATCGACTATGTTACTCTTAAAAAAATATATGCATCATTATAGTTTTCAATAAAATATTTAAAAATTTCATCAATAAATCATACTTTTTTCAAATATATAGATAACATTATGATTATATATATGCATTTCTTTCCTTCTATACTACTAATAAAGAATGAAACTTTTGTCCTAGCATGAAAATTTTTTGATTCACTATTTTACTCTTATATAATTTTTTAAATACCACAATATCCTTCAATATTTGAATATCTAAATTGTCATCATATGCGTATATGTTTAAATCTCCAAATTACCCTTAACATCTATTTTATTTCTTTATTTACTATATATAAATATCAGTATCCATAAACCTTTTTAATTGACCATGTTACCTTTAAAACATATATGCATCACTATAATTTTTAATAAAATATTCATTTTTTTTAAATTATCAATTTAATATTACTCATTTTAAATATAAAGATAATATTATCCTTACATTTGTGTATTTCTTTCATCCAAAATTTCAACAATTTAATTTTTAAGATAAAAAATAATTTTTTATGTAGTTTTTTTTTAAATAATTTTTATTAAATTAGCATAATTCTTCAATCACAGTAAATTTTTCATATTTTATTAAGAATTTATGTAAAAAAATTATATTGTATTTTTAAGTAAAACATAAATTTTAAAATTTTAATATTCTTTTAAAATATATATTATAGAGTAATATATTATATTTCAAGGTGAGTAGCACTTTTAACATCTAAAATATGCATATTTTGTCAGTTTGGTCTTCATTGTATCAATTTTATCAATTTAATTCTTAAAATATTTAGTTAATGTTTAAATCCATATACAAACAATCTGTTAAGTTTTTTATAGAAGTGATCACGTGATACTATTTGACGGAATAACATGTGATTATTTTCCTCAAAAAACTTAAATATTTTAGAGATAAAATTGATAAAATTTATGTACTAAGGACTAAGCTGACAAAAAGTGCAAACTTTAGAGAATCAAAGTGTTATTAGTCCTATATTTTATCTCTATTAACCTCACTAATTATAGTAAACATTGATTAGAATATTAAAAATTAATTTTATTTTATTGAATGAATTATAAGTTGAAACATAATCAAATAAATTTCAAATAAATTATTTTTATTTTTTTTATGCTTAAAACAATGAATCGTTGGGAACAAACAATATTTTCAAATTCTATAATATAATACAAGCAATAAAAATATAATTTTGATAACTTGAAATGATATTTAATATAGGTACACATATAACTAATACTTTTTATTAAGATTTTGTATATGAAAATTATTCACGTGTAATGCACGTGGTGCATTACTAGTACATTAAAATACACACTAATACACAAAAAATACACACACATATACTAACACAAAAACTAAAACACATTTAATAAAAAAAATACACACATAATGGGTCGGGGTCAATTGTTGGATATGAGTTGGTTGTGGGTCATGGGCCAACCCATGGGTTGTGGGGGACCCATGTATCAACCCATGGGTTGTGGGTGGTGTATTAATGTGTATTTTTGGTGTACTAATGTGTGTATTTTTGGTGTATTAATATGTGTATATTTTAGTATATATGTGTATTTTTTGGTGTCATAGTGTATATATTTTTTAATATATTAATATATTAATTTTATTTTATTACTTGTGCTATTTAATAAAAAGATAAATATTCAACCCAATAGATACTCATTTGTAATCCATATTAACCCGCTTAATTAAAATGAATCATATTATCCAATTCATTTGGAACCCATATTAATTAATATAAATACTCAACTCATTTATTTATAGACAGGTTGAACGGATTAATGAGTAATAAGTTAAGATTGTCACCTCTATTTACGGCTTATCTTTACTACAACCACCTTGATGTTGAAAAAATATTTGTTGTAACCGTTATACCATGTTAGCAGTACCAAACGAAGATAACCATCCATTATTATGTAGACAAATTAGCCAATGGATCCCACTCAAACTCATAACTACCCAGCTATGTCATATATAATCACCTCCATGATAAGAAATGACCCTATTTTTAATTTTTTTTTATTTTTTTTTTATTGGATGGTTACACCGTGTCAGCAATGCTGACATGGTATATAACCTTGCACCCAATATTTACTCCTTGATGTTAAGGTTGTTATTTTTTTTGTGTAAACTAAACATATAGTTCTTAAACTATAACCCTTGAAACAATTAAGTTCTTAAATTTTTTTTTATCAATTAAATACTTAAACTTTTTAATTGTGTCAATTAAGTCATTTTGTCTACCTCCGTTAAATTTTCTAAAGAAAAGTGTCAAAATGTTAGAGTAAGATACACATATGACCCCTAAAATATGACTTTTGTGTCGATTAAGTTTCTAAATATTTTATGTTAATTAAATCATTTTATCTTTTTGTGCCTGTAGTACTCGATAAGTACAAGACACATGTCTCTATTATAATAGGATAAGTGGCAACAATTATCAGTTGATATGAAAATGACGCTCGATAGAGTTCAGCTGGACTGGTATAGATAACAGTGACAAGCGAGACGCCCCTGGGCGCGATGCCCTTAAGCACAATACCGCGAGATACATCTCCATCGCATTGGAAGTGGCAAAATGGACATTTCACCAAGTTTGGACAAAAGTGAAATTGCTGAAGTGTGGGGACAACCTCAGCGAGACTCGCCTCCCCCGCTACGAAAATGGTATCCTCAACCTATTGAATGTCGTTGCTCGATTGACTCACTAGACTAAGAGGTGTCCCCACCTAGAGACAGAGGGGTATGACCCTTTTCAAGGGAGAATTGAGCAATAGGGAGAATGAACACGATTGTTATTTTCGGCTTGGACAGAGTCTCGAAGATTTAGTCTGCTTGAGTAGGCCTTCTAGTGTATGACTCACTATCCACTGAGATGTGCTTGATTGGGATCTGGAGAGACTCTTAAAATAACTTGGGTTATTGATTCGGATTAGCATATGGGATAATGAGACATGTGGATCGGTGACTGAAGGACCAAAACTATGTGAATTTACTCTATTGGGCATCTTAACAAAAGTCTTGAGGAAAGGTCTAAAGCGGGAAAGAAGGACCCTGGGTAGGAGCGCGCTAAAGGCATCGCGGACATGGCCCTCTCAAGGTCATGATCCCACGGTGATTAGTCGCGGTCATGGACCTTGGAGTTGACTCTCACTTTGATTGTTGCACTTTCCTCAGGGCCACGTCCAGGTTGCGTTTGGAAAAATATCACATCTGCCTAGTTAATGTTGGGACACATGACGCCCAGGTTGCGTTTGGAAAAATATCACATCTGCCTAGTTAATGTTGGGACACATGACTCGCACTAACGACCACTGGTATCATCACGATCAAGACGATTGTAAGTTCGCACTGGTGATAGGGAGTCGCGGCGGGTAGTCCGACACTATGCCATAAATGCCCATATTATTTGCCCACTGCCCAGGATGATTTTCTAGCTGGTGAGTGTATTTTTTACCTACCCTCTACCCAATTAGTTCGTCCTTCAATAATAAGTTGTTCGAATTCCTTTCGTCCCATCCACTTCGACACTTATTCGTTTTACTGCGTTACTTGTTGGAAAACATGACCAAAGGTCGTGATTCTTAGTTTTTGTCAACTTTTTTTAATTCCCACCTATATATGTAATTTATTCTTATTTTTTTGTCAGCTCGTTTATCCCACTTGTACATATTTTCCTACGTGGGTCCTGCCCATTTTTGTTTTTTTTTATAGTTTACAGGAGAAAGTGCAAATTTTCAAAATTTCAAGGCAGCAAAGTTGAAATTATCCCAATTCAAAATGGCCATTAAGATACATGAAGGCTCCAAACCTTCCCTCTCTCTCTGTCTCTCACTAACATAAACCGACACAATTGGGTTTTGAGCTTTTTACCGTTAAACAAACACTTTGACCCTTCAATTCCTTTCAAATTGTTCAGTGATCCCCTCAGTAACTTCCCTTTCCAACTCAAAAACACAACATGAACTCACCCACCATCGATTGTATCCAAAACTACGAACCCATGTTGAAAGAATCCATCAATCAGTTCTTGACCTCATACCGAAATGGAATGTCAGATTTCTCTGATTTCGAATCGATTTCCTGTCGGTTTTTCCAAGCAACGGCCGACCCAACTCTCGAAATCATCTGGTTTTACTCAGCAGTTGTATGTCACCGCTCTAAGTCATCAACCCTTACACTTCAAGAACCTTCAAAGAAAATTTTGTTGGCTAATGACTTGTTTCAGTTTGTACTTTCTTGTTCGACCCCTTGTGATGGACTAAAGAAAGTTGCTGTACTTGCTCCGGTTGTATATGAATTACACAACTTACTATGTGAATTTTCGAAAAAAGATTTGTGTCTGAAGACAGGGATTGAGGGTTTAATAGAGAGGATTGTTAGTTACATTAGTTTATGGTGCGGTAATGATACGAAAGACCAAGAAAAAGGGTCGGATAATTCGATGGTGCGTTTTCAAGATTTGGTACGAGTTTGGACGGTTGATCGCATTGGGGAGAATTGTAGATTTGGGGATGTTTTAAAAGTGTTTTTTCCGCTTTTGAGTGATGAGGTTTGTAATGGGTTGATTAAGAATTGTAAGATTGGGTATCTAGCTGGGATTGTTATGAATGAGGTGTTTTTGTTGAGCCTATATTTGAAATTTGATTTGGGGGGTTCAACCGAAGAATTGCAGAAGGACCTGAAAGATTGGGCGGGTCAGACCATCAATGGGTTTCAGAATTATTACTTTCTTGGTGAGAATTGTTACCTATTACATGGTTGTTCATTTTCTTGGAGTCGAGCTTCCTGTGTAGAAAATCCTTGCTGTTTAGAAATGAAATGAATATTTTTCTTTTGTTCATTACAAGGGTTTCAGCTTACCACTAACTGACACCCATCTGTTCTTAGAACTTTACTTGAACTCTAACCGAATTAAGCTTTAGCCTACTTGGTTCCATCAACTTTCAGTTGAAAAGTAAACATGAGTTCACCAATCATTGTGTCAATCAAGGACTCAAAACCACCCAAGAGCTATCATACTATGTTCAGAGAATCAATGGTCCTCTTTCTTAAAATCCATTTCATTGTTTCTATGTGAACTTCATCTCATGGAGTTTCTGTAATATTTGGAAAGAGGTCTGGTTTTTTATGATCTAAATTGTATGCTATACCCTATCTATATAATAAAAGAGAACACAACGCACAACCATGACTCAAATTGTTTGGATCCGACGTCTTGTTTTGCCTATTTACATCTTATCCACAATAATTATGTATTCTGTCCAATTACATTTTAACCAATCTTTTTAATCTTACACGCTGTGCATTAACGGGTGACCCTAGTATCCTTATATACTAGAATGCATTGTTTCTTCTTAAAGTCGTGTATTTGGTTCTAGAGAAATCAAGGAAAGAGGGTATACAACATTAGCATTGCATATATTGTAAACTGTGGTTTCCAGTTTCCACTAAAGTTGGACCAGATAATTCTTAAATACCTAATAGCATGGGTTGAGAGATTTAATTACCTGATTTCTTGGAGATTATATATATATATTTTTGCCCATATTCATTATGAATCACAGCTCATTATAATTACTTCTTTTTCTGGTGTTTTTAGATCTTAGTTCATTTGTTAATTGTACAGGTTAGTCGATATTTCCAGGGATTGTAGGGTAATTTTATGTGTAGTTGAAATGCTCAACAGTGTTCCTTTCACTTCTGTATGTCCTCCTCATTTGTGGTAAAATAAGTTCGTCTTAGCTGATCTAGTTAGAGGATGTCATCATTCTCATTATACTTCCACTGTCATATGCCTACTTCCTGACTTCTCGCTGCTACCTGTCAGATACACTTCTCAGAATGCAGTTGGAGCCAAGTTTCCCTGTCACCACCCTATTGGTCAGTATGTCTATCTTTATTCAGTTGGTATACGTTTAGTTGATGAACGTCTCTGGTTCATGAGTCGGCATAATCCGGCTAGGTTTACATTGGGTGAAGAGTAAATCAGTCATGCATCCCTTCCCTTTCCACCACCTCCAGTACTTGAGTTGTTCATTTGTTGCTTGAAGTAGTCACAAGCATTTAATTAGTTAGCCATTTCGTTTTAGTCTTTTAAAGTTTCTTGTTGCCGTGGATTTCCGCTTAACATATTGCTCTTGCGTAAAAGGAGTAAATGTATTATAATGATACTATTATGAGATTGTGATTGTGCTAAATAAAAATTTGTTTGGTTACTACAGAGTCTTAGGGATGCAGTTCTGCTACGGAAAATGCTGTTTGATACTGTGATATTGGTTGACTATGCGTTTATAAATACCGGTAGATGGACTCAGCTACCTGGCAACCACTTAAAAGATTTAGCTCTGCTATGGTTATTAGTTGTTGACAGTGCTATACAGCTTGCTAGGTGAGGGATAAGTTGTGGCAGAGATGCAAGAATACCATTATGCAATGTTCCATACAATAAATCCTGAATTTTGTTGGATACAGGGTAAATCATGAGCAATCCAGGGTCATTTCATATGAAAATGCCTTCTCTGAATCTATCTTGCCCACTCAGCTAATTCATTGGGTCACTACTCAAACCTGCATGGATGAGAAAACTAGGAGGCCAAATATTTCCACTCCTGAAACTCTTATTAGTGAGTTGCTTCTTTCTTTTACTCCCTTGTCAGTCACCTTAGTTTTCCAGCCTTCAGCTCCTCCGAAGCAGCTTGTCTGGTTACAAATCTTTACATCCCATCTGATATGAATTGATGCCCTATATGTTGGCAACAGCTGAATGCTGCACTGACCCTAATTTACAGGTTTTTTTGTCCCCTTCTTTTCCCCTTCTACGAGTGTTTCTGATTTGCTAACCAAACAATGCTATGAGAGGATGAGCTAGGTAGAAGCTGCCCTGTTCATTGTACGCTACTGCTCTTTTTAATTCTGTTCTTTTTTTCGAATTTCCCAGATGTTTGACTTGAAGTTGTCTCATTTACAGAGTGGCTATTGTTCCTGGAAGATAAAGGGCATCGAGTAATTGATCATAACATATTGAATTTGCATCCTAAAGCTGCAATTTGGATGTCAAGATTGGACTATGAGTGCCCTGAATCCAAGCTAGATGGTAAAAATCCCAGTGAGAATATCTTCTTCAAAACTGAAAGAGGGGAAGATAAAGTCAATGTGGATCAAGATATGGTTGATTCATTGGATAATGCATTTCCAGCTGCTCACTGCATAGGAAGTTTAACAGCAACTGAAGGGACAAGAAAACGCAAAGAAGGAACGAGAGATGGAGAAACACAGGTTAAGCTAGCCAAATATAGCCTCCCCAAAAATTGTAGCGGGCAGAGGATTTTCCCTTCTTCTGGTAATGATGGTTTGAGCAGTGGTGGCAGGGTTGAAAATCCAGTCCATGGTCCTACTAATAGGAGTGAAGTGCACAATCCTATGTCTGATGAAGATATGGAAGATATGAACTGATTAGAAATTGAGGCAACAATTTTTTTGCACAGGAAAGAATAGTTGGGTGTTTGCAATATTCGATCGTGATCATGCTCCTCCGTTTTGGTAGTATGAGAGGGGGCTCCGTTTTGGTAGTATGAGAGGGGGCCATATGAATTACACCAAGTTCCTCGGCTTCTAGTTTGTATAATTTTTCCTCTGTTGGGTCTGCTAAAATGAATTACACCATTTCTGCAACTTACCCACTCCATTGTAGAGGGATGCTTTGCTTATATTGTGAAAGAGATACCAATTGAAATATATAACATCTACCTTTTGCTACCAACTGTTTTTTTTCTTTGAAGTTTTTTAGTTGATATAGTCCATGGTTGGGAGATATATACTTGCTTATGTGCTCTGGATCAAGTATAAAGTTTCCCACATAGCGTTGATGGGCTGGGTTTAGGGGGTTTCAGTTTGACCGATGAACATGCACATGACACAAATTCAAAAATAACAAGATCTACTAAAATGAATAATAAATGGCCGGGTTACATGCGAATAACATGTCTAGCCGGTATTCTATGTAAAACAATTTGTATTTTATTGCTTTATATAGTTGTGTATCATTTGTTTTAAAATTAAAAAGTTTTTTATTTACACTGATATTTACATGAACACGACACAAACTAAAATAATAATGCCCGACGCATGTAGAAAATGAAAAGATTTGCATAAGTTATATATTTCATTATCGTTATGTGAAAAATTGTTCCCTCTTCTAGTTCCATCACAAGGAAAATCATGTAGAAATTGGATAAATATTTTAGATTAATCATGAGAGTAATTTAGATGCTTTTAATATTTATTTTTTAAGTAATTTTTTTTAACTTTTGAAAATTTATTTGTCATTATTTATTTGTTTTAAGGTTTTAGTTTCCCTATATAAAGGGATGCATGTAAGAGTTTTATTTAGATTATACTTTGATTATTATTGAATACTATATTACTTTCTTCTCAAAATTTTTTCTTTTTTTTCTTCTCTTCTTTTCCATAATTCTTCTCTTCCTAGTCTACATCACTAATACATGCTTTTTTCGATATCAAACAGGAGTTGCGAGTAAATAGAACACCATTTAAGAGTGTTAATATGAATGGGCAATGGTAATCTCCCTAAATAGTAGACAAATGTAGTAAGCAAGAGAATACTAAAGATTGAGAATTGAATGTGAAACCTTAAGGTATCACACTTACCAATAAAACCTCCATGTTTTTTTCGGGAGCAATGTTGCCGAGATCTAATCAAGGTCTAATTCATTAGAGAAATAGTGAGTTTTACGAGTTTCCAAATTCATATATTTCTATTATTTGTGGACACTGCAATGTCTTCCTTTTTCTGAAACTTTAATGAATGAATTCTCAACAATATTTCTTGGAAGGAGCCATAGGACTTAAATGTGCATATTACTCCATGAATGATATGTTAGTTGGTCACGTCACGTGTAATATATGTTGTTAGATCCATGAGACTCATGAGAGTGATGGTCCACCTAGTTACCCAACCTTTGAGAATTCCAGTGAATTTTAAACCATTGGGGCTTAAACCTGATCATAGTTTTCATCTGAGTCCCCAAATTATTTTCTTTTCTCACTTTTCTCCCTAAACTTTCAACATTGGTTTGCTTCTTTCATTTTGCAAAAATGAAGGAGTATTTCCTTGGGAAGTCAGCACCTTCTTTGAAGACCTCATCATGCACTTTGCGAAAAATCTTAACCTACAATTTTTATACAACTCTAGAGCCCATAACAGAATAACTCATCGGGCGACAACATTTGACAACATTTGTTACGACTAACTCACTTCTTTTGAGTTGGGTCAACTATTCACCATCAAAACTCAAGACTTACATAATTTATGAAAATAATATTTTATTTCCGAATTGAATGAAATAGACAGCTTTCATTTTCAAAGAAAAAATAAAGATCACAATTTGAATCAATATTACAAGTTTAGGGACACAATAAATAAATAAAAAATTAATTCAAGTAATAATTTAAGAGTTCATCGCGGCAATAAAGGTGGCATGCCGTAATAATAAGATTATTTCATTGACATTTAAGTGTTATGAGTTAGAAGCGTAAATATAATCTTTATTCTCGTGCAAAAGAAAAATTATATGTATCTAACTCTCCTCGGACTGTATTGGGTCGAACCCGGATGAAGGGTTGGTGTTGATGTATTTAACTCTGAGTAACTTTTCTTATACATTTGGGTACATGATGACATTACTTTATATAACTTGCATCAATCTTCCGCTATCCAAGCAATATTGGTGCAATTATTGGAACCAAAGATCACATGCCACATGGCATGTTGCCCGTGATGAAAATAACGTTGACTTGAGAGGCACGACAGCTAAGCTGGAACCTCACCAACCGTATGACGTGCATATGCCACGTAAGCTGGGATGGTACCTTCTACTCTTATACTTATTGCAGTTGAAATACACTTACATATATATTTTTTCTTATTATTTATTTAAGTGGAATATATTTATGCAAATGAGCTTTTATTTATTAACTATAAATAATACATTAAAAATATATTAGATAAAATTCGGATTTATAATGAACAAGCAGCTGGACATTTAGGACTAGGCTTGTTCACGAATTGGATTCGAACCGGATCCAATTACAAGATTAGTTATTGAATTTAATCCGTTTATTTTACATATAAAAAAATATTAGTTAATATCTGAATCCACTTATAATTGGACGTCCGGGTCCGATTACTCAATTCAATCCATAATGGCATTCCACTAAAAGTTTAACAAATAATATTTTTTTAGATCAAATATAAATAATCTATATATATAAGTGTGTGTGTGTGTGTATTATCTATAAATGTATAGTATATATAACAAAGGCTAATATATATTATATGTACATATGAATTAAATCAAATTTTTATTGGATTAAATTTAATATCTATATTCATATCCAATATAAGTTATCTAAATGAATTCGGATAAAAAGATGAAAAATATTAGTCCATATTTAGTTAAACGAATTCAAATTCGAATTGGATTCGAACAGAAATCCGATCTATTGATAGGTTTACTTAAGATCACTAATGCAGCTGCTTGTATATGCAATTACTTTCATCGACATCATATTTAAGTGTAATTTTTTTAAGAATACATTACAATATTGAACAAAGTTATCGTGCCATTTTAAGAAATAATTCTTGACCAAGTTTTTAGTTTGAATTATTTATAGTCACCGGATATCAAAATGATAAAATAAAGTAAAATATACAACCATTAACTTTTTTATATGTCTCTCTATCTCTATTTCTACTACCGAACGCTAGTATTGAGATATCGAGAAAAAGGTAGATCGAAGAGGATTCAACAAGGAAAAGCAAGAAAACGAATGCACTAAGTACTTAATTTAAATGCTTATTTCTAAATGAGGAATTAAATTTATTTTTGGTAATATATATATAATAAAAAAGTATCGAGGGATAAAATAAGAAAATATCAAGAACTGGGAATCAAGACCCAATGGTTGACATTTTTCATATCCAATGGTGTATCATCAATTCTATCTTTAATCAATTCATTTTAAAGAACAATCAAATGAGTAAGCATAGCTACGAGAGAAGAGATTCAAATACAGAGAAAAAAAACACATCACTATTTACATTTGATAAATTAACTCAAGACTTTTATTTAAAGAAAGTCAAGAATCATTATCTCGATTAGATCTTGTTTGGTTGACTTGCATAAAAAATAATGTTCTATAATCGAACTCCAAGTGAAAAATATTATGTTAGAAAGAAGTAGATTTATCAACAGATAAGATATAATTAAATTGTTTTATATTTAAACCCAATTATAATTATTTTGACCCGATCCCAGGATCCAATGGATTTAGGGTTTTTTAATGTTTGACACTCACTCTTTACTTGTACACGCTTGAACGGATGGTTTTCACACTGCTTCAATGTACCTCTTGATAGGAAATTTTTTAGATGTATATTGATAGGTGACATATTAATACATACTCAAAACCCGTATGTCATTGATGGCCCCACATTTGAACCATTGTACTCCCAGGTCAGCATGTGGGTCCCACGACAAAGTGACAAATAAGACCTTTGTTTAGTCAAATGCCAACAACAATATATACTCCCAAACTAATGCCCAAAAAAAAAAACAGCACTTTGTAATCTTGGTTTAAGAACCAGCTTAGGTAGCTAATCCAGTAATCATAATAATTAATTGTTCAAGCATCCAAAGGGTACGACTGACAAGGTTATTTCTGTAATTTCAAATAAAACATCAAATTTGTCGGTCCCTAACTCTGGTTAGAATCTAACCAGAGTCTCCGAGTTAAGGTTTACATTTTGTTAGTACAGACCACTCGTGAGGCTCAGAGCGTCGGTGACCCAGTAGACGTTAAGCCTCGAGTTAAGAGAGAGAGAGAGAGAGAGAGAGAGAGAGAGAGAGAAAGAGACGTAGATTCGTATATAAGCCATGGAAGCCGAATCCAATGTGCGTCGAATTTGAGAGAGAATAAATACTGTTCGTGTATAGATAGATAGATAGATAGAGAGAGAGAGAGAGAGAGAGAGAGAGAGCTGCGGCCAATGGGAGATTCAAGCGATTCTGTTTCCGTGGACATAGAGATGATCTCTCTCGGCGGGAAGGTTAGACAACCAACTTATATTGCAGTTTATACATGTTTTGTTTATAGATAAATGAAACCTATATGTGTATGTGTGTGCAATGGGGGAGCTACATTTGTGTATACGGATTTTTTTTTTAGGAACATCTCCAAAGTCTCTGTTTGGTGTTTTTTTGGGGGTGTGTGGATATGGTTTGTGAATCCATATGGTAGATGTATTTCGAGATTGTGATTTTTTTGGAAATGTTTTTGGTGATGTTGTTTAGTTTTTTTGAGGTGAAAGAAGCTTAATTTGGCAGCATTTTACTTGCACTTTCTCTATTTGCTGTTTAGTTTATGATCACATTTGACTATTGATTGTTTTGTATATTTTCTTAGAATTTTTATATTCAAGTTTATTTGATTGCATTTATTATCACATACCTTCGTTTGAGTATATATCTTAGTGTATCTACACACAATTTTAAGTTTCATGTATTGATTTTTAAAGTTTGAGAATTAATAACACAGAATAAATTACCCTCTTTATATCAACTGCAATCTAGTTCCAAGTCTTGTGACCATTTCAAGCAAGAAATGAGTGTTTGTGGGCAGTTTAGTTTACTTGAATTTCTGGTTTTGAATATGGTTTTAATGAACAATCTGAATGGATTTTGAACATTAGGCTTGGGTTGTAAATGAGTATTGGAACATAAATTTCTCGAGTTCCTATTGAAAATACTAATTGATAAGATTATCCAGTTGAGAGCATGCAGATAACTGAAAATTGTGAGACAACTAGATCCTGTAGCTAATTTTATCCTCTTAAATTTACAAGAAAGTTTAGACTTTAGAGTTTGTTTAGAACTATTTTTTGTGTGGTTGGACTCTAAATGAATCATCTGAAGTCAATAACTTGTTCATTACATCCATTAACAAAAGGTGAGATGCCAGTATGAGCAAGAGAGATTTTTCCTTGAGGGCCCTCTGCACATGGATAATGCCTTTGGGAAGCAAAAAATGCTTAATTTGGGTAGGCCCAACTTTTCCTCCGTTAACAGCAAATGACATCCAATTTGTCCTACTTTCATACGTGATGTTCTCTTACTTAAATCTCTTTGTTTTTCAATTTTGTTAGTTAATTGACTAATCCACTCTTTTATCTGCTTTCAGGAGCATAGAATAAAAACGGGTCTTGGTTCTGTCTCTGTTGCTGTATTTGGAGACCAGGACAAGCAAGCTCTGATTACGTATCCTGATTTAGCTTTAAATCGTATGTGGATTGAATAAGTTATCATTTTTACTATATTGATCTTTGACCAAGCCACTCATTTATGATGTCAATACTCATCTATTCCTGCAAGTAATGTTAGCAACCGTCAACCTTACGTAGTTTTATTGTGATTGTTCAAGAGAATTTGCTGGACTGATAGAAACCATGGTGAATTTGTACTTCTTAAATGAAAATTTTCTGCTAAAAAGTTGTTATATTTTAGATGAGTTTGGTTTTTCTGGTCTGAACAATGTTTCTCCAACCTAAACTTTGTAGTTGTCCAACTTAGAATATTATGTTGACATCTCATTGAAATGCTTGCATTCTTTTGGGTCCCACTACTTTTAGGACACAAAATTGTGCTGGTGTAAATCAGTTTGGTTTTACAGGTCTGAACCATGGTTTTTCAACCTGAATTTCATAGTTATCCAAATTGGACTATATCTTGATACCTCATTGAAATGCTTGTGTTGTGTTGGGTAGCACTACTTTTTAGGAAATCAAATTGTGCTAGTTTAATCACTTCATCATATCATACGAACACATAAGGCTTGTGATGCTATCAGAGTCTGACTTCTCTTTCATCGTTATGCATGTGATTGAGCAGATGTGTCCTGTTTCCAAGGATTGTTCTTTGTTCCGGAAGCTTTTTCTTTGCTGCTCCATAACTTCTGCATTTACCATATTAGTCCTCCTGGGCATGAGGTCTGTAACTCGGTAACTTGATTGCTGGTCTTATTTGTGCTCATATGATTTTTATTGTTTCAATTTGTTCAATTGCTATTATTTACATAATTTCTTATCTGGTACTTTCTTTAAGAGTTGTTGCAGTTGGGAGCTGCTGAAGTGAGTCCCGATGACCAGGTGTTATCTGTTGATGATTTGGCAGATCAGGTTGCTGAGGTTCTTGATTACTTTGGGTAATTGTGATATTATAAACTCTCTATTTACTGCCTCTTGAGTCTGAGCTTATAAAGAATTTACATAGTGGTCTCTTTCAGCCGGTAAATCTGCTGGTTTGTTTCTGGTGGAGGATTAAATAGACACAACTATTCTAATAAGAAAGGCTGCAAAGGACTTCTCCCCATGCATTGTTATAATCAATTGGTTTTGCAAACAATAAATGGAAGCAAGCTGTTAAATTTTTATCCCTTTTCCAGACTTGGTGCTGTGATGTGTATGGGGGTGACAGCAGGAGCATATATTCTTACCCTGTTTGCAGTAAGTTGTGTCCTTTGTATAGTTGTTGTTCATTTTCTATTGGTTTACTTCTTGTTTTAGACTTTTGGGTTTTACTGATCTGGTTTAGTATGACTTGATCGCAGATAAAATATACACAACGGGTTCTTGGTTTGATACTTGTTTCCCCTCTATGCAAGGCACCCTCTTGGACAGAATGGTTGTACAATAAGGTTCATTTGTTGAACCCTTGAATCAATGTCTTTCTCATGCAGAGAGAAAGGGGAGGGAGAGGGTTGATATTAATCTGCTTCTTACTGTCTTACCCATTATGGTAAATTACTTGCAGGTGATGGCAAATCTACTTTACTTTTATGGTATGAGTGGTCTTGTGAAGAACTTACTGCTTATGCGGTACTTCAGCAAGGTATCTTTGGCTTCCAGTTTTTCATATTTGTATTTCCGGAGAATTGGATGGGTTGATGCTTGATCAGAAATAAAATAATATGGCAGGAAGTTCGTGGCAGTGCCCTGGTACCAGAATCAGATACAGTTCAAACATGTAGAAGAGTTAGTGCTTAATTTTTTTTATTCTCCTTTCTTATTGCAAATATACTAACAGCCTGTAAAATGATAATTTCAGTTTGGCAAGTGTTAGACATGGGCTGATTTCCATGATGCATATGTTCTTTGTGCAGTCGTTGGGTGAGAGACAGAGTCCAAATGTATTGCGGTATCTTGAAGCTATTAATGGGTAAAAACTATTTCCAAGAATTTTCAATGTTTCACTTATGTTATTTGGGAATGCTGGTGCAAGTATTTGTTCCCCTAAAGCCTAAACATTGCTTTGCTTTTGCCGTGTTCCTACATCAAAGAGATCCTTTTAAGCTTTGCAGATACTGTTCTGTGCATGCTTGTTTACTGTGTAGCTAGTAATGTGGCGACACTTAACTGGAGTGAAATGCCTGAGACCAGGGGTAGACCTAGCAAGTTTTCATTGCGAAGAGATGGTAGGGGAAGTGTACATAAAATGTTTTCAATTGTATGACATAAAGGGTATTGAGACAATTTAGCTAGTTACCAGAGACAATTGTAGTGATGCTTCTAGGTGGTATTGGCCAGCCTATATTTAGCAAGTTGTGTTCGTACAGCTAGGCGCCACATTTTGGACTAATGGGAACTTCCTGGTTGGCAGGAGACCAGATGTCTCTGAAGGATTGAGGAAACTACGGTGCCATTCCTTAATATTTGTTGGAGAAAACTCTCCCTTCCACTTGGAGGCGCTTCACATGACTTCAAAATTGGATGGAAGATACAGTGCCTTGGTTGAGGTATGCAACACGTTGTTTTATTTTTTGTTGGGGAAGTTGCAACACATTGTTTAACACGAATCTAAGTAACCATGTCCTAATATTGAGCTTGCATGGATTCATGAAATGGGCTTTAGTAATGGAGGTTGTATGGATATACAGGTTCAGGCATGCGGCTCAATGGTGACAGAGGAGCAACCCGATGCCATGCTTATACCAATGGAATACTTCTTCATGAGATACGGCTTCTACCGGCCATCTCAATTCAGTGTTAGCCCAAGAAGCCCATTGAGTCCAACTTGCATCTCCCCAGAGCTTTTCTCACCAGAAAGCATGGGTGTGAAGTTAAAACCAATCAAAACAAGAATTTCTCTCCAAGTCTGAAAGATAGTAAGGATTGGAATTTTGTAATCTTATGTAACGGCATGGGATTGTAATTTCAGTTGATTTGATGAAACAGTATAGTGGCGGAAATTACTGGAGGATTGTAGATAGAGAGAGAGAGAAAGAGGAGATGAAAAAGGGGAAAAATGAAAGGAGGGAGATTCGATTCTTTGATTTGTAATCATAAAAGTTGGTTGAGGGCCGAGTTACCTGTACATCCTCGGTATAAATATGCATGACAAAGCATAATAAAAAGTGGGTGGCAAACTTGTGCTTTATCAAAGGCATATTCTTATTCTTTAATAATTGAGAATCCTCTCAATTACGTGTTGAATTTTAGAACTGCACTAGTTATAACGTAAATTCAAGATGGTTATTTATTCTTGTGGATATGACTGCATTTTCTTTGTTGATACGAGGTTCGTGGTATGAACGAAAAGTTATATATTGGTACTATTAACATATTATGCAATTTTTTTTTTAACTTGAGTTATAATTTCTTTGGCTCAACTTGCAACAAAATAAACTGCAATGGGTAAGCAGCGGTAGTTCAGTCATCCGATAAACTTCTCATGGTGGGTAGGTCAAATGTTCGAATATTTTACATAGTGTAATCTCTTAAGGCCATTGTTCATAAATTTATTCTCTTATGTGGAGATGCGACTTTGCACAAAGTCCAACATTAGTTTGGTATGTAAGTGGGATAATACTACCATCATCTACTGGGATAGTTGGGATATCCAAAAAAAAAAAAAAATTACAACAAAATAGGGTTTGTGAGATTGATCTTAAATTTATAAATTTTATCATCTTTAGCTCAAAATAAAATAGGATTGGTGAGATCGGTCCTGAATGTAGTTTAGTGTTTTCAAAACATATACTAGGAAAAAAGTTTTATTATTGATGGGTGTTAGAGTATTTTAATTAAAAGAGTGTTTTTTATGTGGGAATTCAATTTCACATCGATTAAACATTTAAAAGTACTTATATATATATATATGATAGTGTTATTTAACTTTTGAGTTAAAGTGAGACATTGCAACTTTCACGTGCGCAAGGTGAGACAAGCGGAGTAGATACGAGTTTCTATTATCTATGAAACACATTGACCCTTAGCTCGCCTCTTTGGAATAAAATATAAACTAATATTACACTCACATTTTAATATTTTATTTAATAATTTTTTCGTCATTACTCATATATTAAAATTTCGGTTAATGAAAACCAAAAGTTTCAACGGCTAGTATTCCAACATCCATTTTTTAAAGTTATTATCTAATTAAATATAAGAGTAATTATGGAATATTAAACTCCTATATTATCTGTATATATATTTATATAGTTCAATATATAATATATACAATCTAATATTTACCACAATCTTTCTACTATACAAGTTCTTGGACAATATTCAAAGGTGTCGTATGAAGTTTCTGTTTCATTCTATTGTGCAGATTTGAGTGAAGCAACAATCAATAGACTAAATTATTATATCTTAGGGATGATGCGTTGTTACCTTCTGCGTTGTGTTTTTTCATAAAAGAGTGCGAATTGTCTTTAAAAGAACGATTTAGTCTACGTCTCATCCTGTCGTTCACTTTATCTTTCGCATCTCAGTTTTTTCCAACAATGGGTTTTATACGAAGCATTTAACCTAGAGAATTCTTGAAACTAATCTCAATTCTAGTGAATTGTTGTTCACTACCTTCATATTTGTATACATTTCGATTTGGGACAAGGTTTTCAGTCCATATTACTTGACAGAACTAGCGCCACAAGCCCAAGCTAACAAGCCCACTTGAGTCAAATAACAGCCAACTGAGTTCCAAATAATCCCAAGCTACAGCCACCAGTCTAGTTTCGGCCCAAAGTAAATGTTGTAGAGAATATCTCTTCTAGAAGAGCATTTTCTTTGGGCTTGCAAAATAATTCTTTGGGTTAATTACATGCACCTCCCTGAGGTTTAACCAAATAAAATGAAGACCCAATTTCCTCAATGACACAAATCCCAGATCAATCTTACCAAAATGAGGTTGTTGAGATTGATTATAACATTTAATTTCGAGTATCCTCGTTAACCTTCTTTTGTAGATAGAATCTTCCGCAAGTGAAAAAAAGCACTTTCCGAATAATCAACTCTGCATTCAGTTGTTAAAATTAATAGGGTCTTCAAATCGTTCATTTGAAAAAATAGAAACCTGACGATCATGGTATATATACTTCTTAGAAATTAATATTTAAAATTAAAATTTGATTATTTCAAAGGATATAGACAACAACCCTAACATTTAGTTGAATATTAGATACTCAACTAAATTTAACCCTAACATTTACATCGTTCCAGATCCAGACTTCCAGTTCCGATTCCCACCCAGCCTAGGTACTCTCTCTCTCTCTCTACGCGATCTGTTGTTGTTTGGCTTGGAATGTCTGATCGCAGACCTTTATCTATGCGATCTGTTGTGGCCCTTGTGGGACCTTCATCACGGATCGTCTGGGTGTAGTCATGAATCGTCTGGGTGTAGACCTTCATCTACGCGATCTGTTGTGGCCTGAGTCACGAATCCATGAATTCGTTTTTCTACGTTCTGTTGTGATGAAATCTGTTGTAAAAATCTATGCTGTTAAAGGTGAATTTTTAGTTTTGGGAAGAGGAAAACAAATGGAGTTTATTGAACGAGATCTGTTCTTTATACTTGATACTAATTTATTCTGATTTGTTGATACTTGATACTTGATACTGATTTCTTGATACTTGCTGGGATGGATTTCTTGGTTCAATATACTTGCTTAGTTCAAATTTTTGTGATACTTGCTTGGTTCAATTTTTTGTGATACTTGCTTGGTTCAATTTATTCAATTTCTTGGTTCAATTTATTTTGATTTCTTGGTTCAATTTATTATGATATTAGTTCAATTTATTCTGATTTCTTGGTTCTTATACTATCTCCATATTTTGTTTTTGTTCACATATCATTTTTTTATGGATGAAATGACTCACAATCATCTGCTCAAGCTGATTCTAACAGTAACATTCTAGTCACTGATGACATTCAATGTGAGGGACTGCTTGGATGGTTCTTGTAATTCTTTCTTTATTGTTTTTGTAGTTGGATTGAATCTAAGATTGAATTAGTCCAATTGATGGCTAAAATATTTATAATTATTGATTTATTGTGTTGTTAAATTGGTGCATGTTATTTAATTAAATTGTTAAAATAATTCAAAAATTAATAACTACAAAAGTGTTTAACCGACTTCCTACCCGATTAATCGGGTAGGAAGTTCACCTTGATTGGGTAGGATAGGCCAAGAAAAATTCCTTCCGCAAAATATCTGGTAAGAAGATGAAAGACTATATATCTTACCTGTAGGGTAGGGTGAACACCCCTAACGGTAACTCATCGTGATCAATCCCGTACAACTACGAGAAAGCACAAGGAACTTGATCAATCAAGATATTCGAAATTCAATTCTTAGGGTTATCAACTTGACTATTTTTGTTGAGTCTCAACTCGACAATTTAATAGAATAGAAAGAAATTAGAAGGAAAAAAAAAAAATAATACGTCACTAAGGGCATGTTGGATTTACAAGAATGATAGGTGTGATTGATGTCTTTAGAGCAATTCTTATTTGGTCTCTATCTTCTCTTTTTTTAACTAATTTAGTTAGCCAAACTCTAAAATTTTTTTTAAACCCACTCTCTATTTTTCATTTCATCCAAATAGCTCTCAAAATGTAGAGAGCCATTCAACCTCTCCAAATTCTCTCTCTCTCTCTCTCTCTATATATATATATATATATGTTGCAATCTTCTTTAAATAATTGGAAGTTAGTGAAATAGTTAACTAAAATAGAGAGCGTAATTGAAGTGAACTTATAAAAGTGACTCTTTAAAATAGAGAATGTAATATTTAAATATATTTTGAGTAACTAAAAAAGACAGTTGGGCTGGAGTTGCTCTTATGTTCAACCCTCTCCAATCCCATATGCATGAAAGACATAATTTAATCAATTTTCTAATCCTAAACTATGTTTGACTTGTGATTTTTTCAATGTTTATGAGCCTCATATAACAGTAATGATTGTATTTGATAATTGAATTAAATACCCTTCGTTTGGTTTATAATATTAGAAATTTAATGGCCTGTTTGGTTTGGTAAAAAAGTGAGTGGCCGGAAAATGATAGATAGAAAATTGGATGAAAAATGACATTTTCCTGTATTTGGTACCGAAGAAAAATTGAGAGAAAAGAAAAAGTGGGCGAAAAATGTATAATTTCCGCCCACCATTTTTAATCGCCCCAAAAATAGGCGGAAAGTGGACGGAAGAAGCGGCTAGTGCAACAATCCTTTGAAATTATAATTTTGACCATTTAAAGTGGCTGATTTTAGAGTGTGTGGCCAACTTTTTTCTTGTTTTTTTCTGCTACATGGATTTAAAAAGTAGGGTTAAAAATTAAATTTGATAATCTCAATTATTGATTTCATCATGACTCCCAGCATTTATTGTGACCTACTACCAATTCAATAGTTGAGATTATCAAGTCTAATTTTTAAGTCTACTTTTTAAGTCTATATAGTATTACTTTTTTTTCTATGTACAAGTGGACCACATTTATGGGGTCCACGAAATTTACAGTAAATATTTCCCGTATAAAAAAGAAATTATGATAATTTTTGTTATTTTTTTACTCATTTATTTTTTCATACCACGAAAAATAATAAAAAATTTATTCCTCTTGTTCCATTTTTTATACTAAACAAAAAGAAGGGAAAATAATTTTTTTTTCTTGAAAGATGAAAAGTCTATCCCTCATAATTTTTATTCCTCATTTTTTTTTAATTTTTCCTTCCAGACAGACCATAAAAGACCAAAATTATAATTTATTTTTCTTGTGGTTCCACAACAAAAATAAAGATTTTATTTTATATCAATTGACTTTAATGCCCTTGTGTTGATGTTGAACATTAGAAATTAGAAGGTTCAATACTATAATTTACAAATCTAAGTACTGTGTTAATTTTCTACCTCACTTTAATACCATCTACCATGTGGTATTGAATAATATCTCCTACATGGATTTATTTACACTGTAGCATTCAGGCCAATATTAATTTCAAATGCTATAGTCGAGTCGATAAAGGACACAACAATCGTAGTATAAAAAAGAGTTTGAAATATTTTTGTTTTTCCCGTATGTTTATACCACTGAAAACAAACATGCCCAAAGTGGCTAAAAAAGTATTGATGATTTTTTTTCTTTTTGTTGCTAAAAGTGACATTTAGATGACGCAAAAAATGTGTAAGCACATCAAGGGAAAAGATAGAAAAGTGGGCAAAATGGGTTGAAGTGGCAAACTGAACTTTAGGAGCAACTTCATTATCACATCACATGTCCCTCAAGGTTGCTCACAAGTTTCTCAACATCTATCTTTGTCCTTCGGTTGAATATGAGGTTGACATTGTGGTCACACGAAAAAAGGTGGTGGACTAAATTGCTCCTAGACAATCAATTCTCTCTCTCTCTCACACTCTCTCTCACACACACACAGATAGACACACACAGAGAGTTAAATATTAAAGTCTCATGGCTCATGAAGTTATAAGGATTTCTCCTTATCATAAGTACAAGACTTCTTACGGTGGAGTGCAAGCAAACTAGCGAGAAATTATGTGATGAAGTATGGTGAACTCAAGGCAGTAGATCGGATGGTAAGGATTCAATGGTTAATACATTGAGATTCCAAATTTATTTCTTGTGGTAGATGTCTTGGTTGACTTGTTTTGCGTGAAAAATTTGAACTTTTAAGTAGTTGCACATATCCCGAGTTAATATGATAATCACAAGTATGAGGAATATGTGTGATTACGGTTATTAGGCATAATTAAGTAAATTAAAAGAAAATCTATTAGGGCATTGCAAGAAGCTGAGAGAGATGCAACACTTTGTATGAACTACTCTATTAGTTTTATAAGCAAATCCAAGGAGTTTTATATAGATTATTATCCACGGAGCTTCGTCGAAGATCTATCTAACACTAGCTAGCTCTGGCTTATGTTTAGAGCCTGTCTGTCCTCTTCGCTACCTAGACTGACTTAGATGCATGGTACAAGATAATTGATACCACTTTTTCATTTTTTATGGTTTATGCTTAAAACTATAACAAAATTATATATCTACCCAACAAAAGCTAACGTAAAAGTAATATTTAAATTAACCAATATTCCAAGTTGCAGAACACAAAGCAATGCTAACAGAAAAGCTTGTTGTTGACCGTTGTCCATGATTGATGAGACGAGACTATCAATTATTGAAAGAGCAATCTTTTTGAATCTTACCTAATTCACTATGATCTTTGAATTGACTGTGAAACCTATCAAAAATTGAAATTTGGTGTTAATTCAATAGTTCTATTGAAACCATATCATTATATCAATAAATTAAATCAAATTTTTAGGTCCAAATAATATTACTCTTATCGAATTGAAAATGCAAGTATTCATGACATTGACAGCCAATAGATTAAGACTGAATTCACATTTCATCAACCAAATTTAAACTATGTAGAAAAAACCAATTCCAACTTGCAAGAAACCTATCTCCTAACCACAAAGAAATCAGAGAAGATTGTAACTCCCCACCACCCACCACCGGCCGCCGCCACCCACCCCCGTCCTCCTCCCTATTGTCATCCTCATTCATGTCCATGCAAAGACACCATTGCCACCACCGCAAGCTTTTGAAGATTCAATTTCACCACTGTATCTGTGAACATTTTTGCATCCTCACCAGTATTACCCTCTGGTATATCAACAATATAAGACTCCAAAACAATGGTGTAAACCCTCCCTTCCTTATTAAATTCATTAACCGAGGTAACAGAACGATAATTATTTAACCTATGATCACCACCCACAACCCTAAAGCTCAGTATATGCCTTTGATCGTCCAAAATCTCTAGCCTTTCGGTGCTAGTAGACGCCGGAAGTCCCGAAACGACCGTGACTTCTCTGATGCTACCTACACTGCCGTCACCTCTCATGTTACAGCTCTTGACAAAGTGCTTGTACTTCTGAGGATTGTCGAAACGTCGGACCAACGGCCAAACGGTGTCCGCGGGAGCTTCGACACGTTGGGTTATGAGAGAAGTGCAAGTGTTTGGGGTTGGCTCGAAAGTGTGGTAGGTTTGAATGAGGGGTTCTAGGTCGAATAATTCTTGTGGGGTGAGACCTTGGGGCACTTGGTTACCTTCCATGGCCGGGAATCGAATCAATGGTAGGCTTATAGTTTTAAGGTAGTGAATGAGATGGTTGAAGAAGATAAAGCATGAAGAAGAATATTTAGAGGAAGAAGAAGAAGCTAGGCAGCTACGGAGGGTGGGTGTGTTGTCATGTATGTTTAAAGAGGAGGACATATGGTGGACAATTATATGACTATTTTGGGTTTGGGGCCTTTTTTTGGGGGTTTTGGGGGTGGGGGGGGGGGGGGGGGGGGTTGTTGGGTGTGGTACAATCTTTTGACAGATATGCCCTTGCCTTAGTATTTTATGACCAACTTGCCAGTATACCATGTTTGTCTTTTTTCTTAATTTAGTGATTAGGGGCAAATTGAGAAATATGAAGTATGGACAAATGCATAGCTATTGTTTTTTTTTTTTTGGAATAGGGGATAACTATGACCAACACCTTAAAAACATGCATAACTATTGTTGGATAAGTTGTGTCTGGGAAACAATTGTATTTTTAACTTAGTTGTGTTGCCCATGCTTTTTGAAAAATGATAAGGCCTTATCCACAATAACTTCTAAACAATGTCTTACCATTTTGAGAAAGAACAATGCTATTGAGATTTAATTTATTGACTTAATTCATTGTGATTTTTAGATTTGCTGTACATCCCATCAAACATGGACATTTGGTGTTGATTCAATAATTTTCATGAAGTCACATCATTATGTCACCAAATTAGATCAGATTTTTAAGTTTAAATAGTATTATTCCAATTAGTATATTATTTACAAGTTGTCGGAACAAAATTACCATCAATTGTCCAAATAAACAAAATTATATACTTATCCTTTATTTTTGGGCAAAAGATAATTAACTTTCACACTCTAAAGAGTGGAGTTTTGAAATATTAACATATGTTAAAGATTTTTTGAAAGTCATCTATCTATCAAAAGGGCTGTTTTGAAAAATAGCATTTCGGTTTATACTAAGCCCACAACCTAAGATTTGAGAAAAATTAGATATCCTTAACTTATTCTGCTAATCGATAGAATATGATAATCAAGATAGATATGTGCTTAGGGCCCAATACTATAGACATAATCAATGTATGCCATTGTTAATGAGTAGGTACCATCCGAACTGGTGGTCTAGTAATAACTCATACTTATGTAATGTCGTTCTTAATTTTTATGTGGTTATTAAGCAGGGTTTGCAGTTTGTTGCTTGATTTTATTGATGTTGTGGTGATGAGCTATCTTTCTCAATTAATATATATGGTTCAAACAAGACATTCTACAGTGAAATGACCCTCATGCTCACCCCCAATGATCGCTCCTCCTTTTTCTTTTGATTAAAAAAAAAAGAGTAGGTATATATTGGGCAAATGAAAGAAAGAGGAGGATAGAGGGGTAAAAAAGTGAAAAGCAAAGTGCCCTAAACGATGTGTCCTCTCAATCCTTGAAAAGGTAAGGTGTAGCCGGGTGGATTCATGTGAGAAGTCTAACAAACTGAACCTCGTGATCCAAACCACACTTTCCAGGATTCCCCACCACACCACACCTGGCCCCACCACCCCTAACTGCACAAATTTTATAGGCAATAGAGATTAATAAATTGTGCAAGAGTTAATTACATTTTTGTCGCCTCGGATTATAAGGTTTGTGCCACTCTTTCCTCCAACTATTGAATTTTTTCAATTGTCCCCTCAATTATCTGAATTGGTTTTACATTGCTCAAAACACAATCGTTTGTTGTCTTCCAAATGAAAAATGTCAATGTGAAAGGGAAAGTAAACAAAATCACATAACGTTGGGGCAAAGATAAATACCTTTATCTACCAAATTCTTAACAGAAGTTGACCAGTCCGAGCAGCGTGAAATTAAAAATCATAATTGAAGATGCAGTATGAGAAATATGATAGTTGAAAGGGTATATCGACACAAATCTTATACCTTAAATGGACAAAGTATAATTAATCCTTTATGAAATTTTGTGGCACATATAATATGAAGCATATCTTATTAGTTATGTATAATTGAATGGTCTAGATTGTGGTCAATAACTTATATTGCCGACTTTGCAGGGTTGATTCATTACATGCATGGTAGTCTTCCAAAGTGTTTCAATTATTTATTTGCAAGATGCTATGAAGGAGGACCACCCCCATTCATGTGTTTTCATAAACTGTGGAAGTCTATAAATTTGTAACTTATAATGGTTTAACATGGTATCGGAGTAGAGAGACCTTTGTACCATGCATTATCACTTTTATGGGAGTATGTTTATTATTTTTGTGGGTGATTGGATCGATCACAAATACCACAAAAGTACTAAATCACTCACACAAGTTGTAAATTTTGTTGTTGTAAAATGACCCATAAAAATTATAAAAATACTCATTAATATAACAAAATTTGGAGGTACGATATTAATTTTTTTTTTGGGTACCCTAGTCAAGTCCTTCATACTAATACAATTCTAAATATCATTTCATTGATATTTTTTTAAAAGAATCTTAGACTTTTAGTAGCGCAAAAAATTGCCACTAATATGCTAAACGTCGCCACTAACAATTTTAGTGGCGATAAAAAAATCGAGAGTGTTAATTTAATTAATAAGTCTACGGTGCCCACAAAAAAATTGTGGATATGATATCAATGTTAATAGAGAGTTGTAGATCTTAGTTTGATTAATTTGTAGCCATTAAATGTATATACGATAAAAAAATTATAAAATAATAAAATGTTACAAGTACTTGAAATATTATTGAATAAAAAGTAAGAAAACAATACCAAAAAATTACTTTTTAATACTATAATAAGGCCATAATGTAATGACCTACTAAAGGTCATGATCGATCATGAATTCTCAGTATCGATCTCAATCTTTTATAATCGATCATATTCTCTAAAATTATAACTTACACATTAAAAAACTTATAGCTTAATTTTAAAAGATTATAATTTCCTATACTATAGTCTTCACCCTCCGCCACCCACCCAAAAGTGGAGGCAAAAGAGGATATGATAGATAAAGAGAACATTTTTGGAAGGGCTAGGTGACTGTCACTGACAAGCCATTTATGCCTATTCTTAACCCACATACCAAAGAACTGTTGTCCAAGGGCGGATCTATTAGTGGGCTAAGGTGGGCTGAAATCCAGGGTAAAAAAAAAAAACAATTATCACTAAGTATCAGCCCACCCCAAAAAAAAAATTACCACTATATTTTCCCCCCAAATTAACCCAACCCAACCCAACCTAACCCAGCAGTTCTCTGCAACACACAGTGGTTCCTCAGCGGCTCCCTGCAACACACAGGCAATCCTCTCTCTTCTCTTTCAGGCGGTCACTTCCCCAAATTCTCAGACAAACAACAGCTCCATGGCAACACAAAGGTGGCAAGTCACTTCCCCAAATCCCTGGACAGGCACAACCATCCCTCTTCTGTGCAAACACCTCCTCTCTCTCTCTTCAACGCATCAGATCCCTCTTTTGCTCAACGCATCAAATCCCTCTTCCCTCCAGCGGCTATTTCCTCCAACAAATTTATTTCCTCCAACGGCTGTTTCCTCGGTGCAAGGTAAGTTTTTCACATTTAATGTGAGGATTTATCAAGTTTATTTTATTTATTAGGCATTAATTTATGTTCACATTATACTCTATTGCTTTACATGATTGGTTGTTAACTACTGTTTGGAGCTCCTAATTAGGGCTGTTAATCAGTTAAATCTTCTCTGATTCACCTTTCCATTTTCTAGTGGTCAATTGTCTGGACATGGATTTTGTTTAATTATGCGGTTCGTTGCTCATAAAGCACAGGAAAAATTCAATCAGGCTTATCTTTATTTATTTATTTTTTTGTGTTTGGGATCAATGAAGTGGAGCTTTACGTTTTTTAGTTTTCAAGTGATGATATGTTTAAGATTCCAAATACCATTAATTATGTTTTGCTAAAATTTTTTTTCCTTGATCAACCAAAAGAAGCACAAGCTTTGAGTAATTGAAAATCAGTGCGTGTACTTTTATGGCTTTGTTTTAGTCTCTATATTTTCTGGATTACCATAGACTTTTATGGCTTAGTGAACTGATGATCAAAACATTTGAAATGTCTGAAAAAATACACTTTGTTCTCACATTTTTACTACCCTTATTTGTCTTTGTGCATATTTACTTTGGATATTGGAGACCTATGCTGATTTTGATAAACAAGACATGCATCATTTGAAATGTCAACTGGATCATTATCAATTTGATGTGGTTCGCCATGAGAGGTTTCAAAGTATGTCTAAAATTTCAGAATTATGCCGTGGTTTAGTAGAAACAAATAAGGTAGAGTCCTACAATTTGATTGATAGGTTGATTCGTCTTATTTTAACTCTTCTCGTTTCTACGACAACTTCAGAAAGAGCATTTTTAGCCATGAAACATGTCAAAAGTATTCTTCGTAAGAAGATGGAAGATGAGTATATTGAAAGAGAAATAACGGAAACAATCGATACAAATTCAATAATAAATGCCTTTTGTTCTAGGAAGGATCGAAGAGTCCAATTTCATTAGTAAGTGTTTATGAGTTTACATTTTGTATTATTAAATATGTGTTTATGAGTTTAGATTTGTATTTTGTTAGTTGTATGAATGCTTAGTTTAGCTCGGGATAAATGAAAATCCTGGCTCCGCCCTTGCTGTTGTCTGCTAGCATGCAAATTACCCCAAAGCCAAGACCAAAATTCCATGGCTGCTTGAGCCCGACGGGCCAAACACATGAAAGAGTTCTTGGATTTTTTGCATTTGCACTCTTTTTCAGTTTTTCGCTCTTTTTAGTTCAGTGCGAGCTTATGAACAAATCAAAATGACACGCTAATCCGTCTCATTTTTTCCCTTCGGATGATAGGAAGAAGATAGAGGAGTTTTGGTACTTCATGATTATAATAAGGAATTTTTTTTAGTACTATATTACTTGCTATTTTTTTTAGTATCTATATTATCTTATGGATGTAACTTTCTAACATTTGGGGTGCACATACTTTTTGGTGGATAGAATTTATCACTTTTGGTTAAAACTTATTACTTCTGGGGTTTTTTTTTTTAATTTTTTGATACGATATTGATGGTGTAATTTACGTGGTTGTGTAGCAGAGTTTGGGGCTCAAAAATACTAGGCTCGTAGTAGTGGA